AGTTAGGTCTCTGCAGTCCCAGTCCAACCACTATACAACAGTGCTTTCCCACGAGCTTTAACAGTAGTCTGCTCCTGGGTTTGTAGGGGGACATCACTCATGCCTTTAATGTAGCAGGTGCTTTGCTTCCAAGTGAGAGAAAATACATTAATCAGAATACAGGTCCTTGCTTCCGATTCCAGGAATAAGATGCAACATTGCAACCAACCCAAGTGTTGGTTTCTTTGAGCAGAATGAGCATCTTGCTATGAGTTTCTCTATGATGTATAAAAACAGATCTTATCTGCACTGACGGTTATTGCAGAAGTGAAAGGCAGAGGGCTTCCATGACAGCACTATCACCATTCTCACATATGCAAATATTGTGCTTCATGAAAAGTGCCAAAATCCATGTTGCCCTAACTCACAGCACTATCAGTCATCTAGCTAAGCCTATAAATTTAAACTAAGAATCACAGGTATCAGGAACTGTTTAGAGATGTTCTCAAATGGGCAGCCATTTTAGTCTGTAGTAGGAGATTTATGGAAGTTTATAGCCTGGAAAAAATTGTTGGTCTCTAAGGTGCTACTGGACTTGAATTCTGTTTTGCGTAAAGGTGCATAGAAGGTGAATAGCTGTATGTTTTCTTGCATGAAATCTTGCAGATAACCAGTTTCTTTTAAAGAAAGACCTATGAATGACTAAACAGGATAAGATTGTTTATGCACAGTCCCTGGATCATGCTCATACAATTGATGTCATGAAAGTGAGTCTTCATTGGATTCTGCATGGCGAAACTGATTTCTGAGTATAGTTGGATCCAACCAAACATTTTCCTCAGTAATAGTCTTCTGTCTGGTTAGGATAGCCATAGCACAAAATATTGCTACCTTAGCAGTATTTTCATTACAAATATCAGCTAAAAGAAGAGTAGAATAACACGCCCCCAATATATTTATAGCTTGATACTTGGTCCAATCTATGACCCTTTATAGTCCATGTTCCTGTTTTAGCTCTCTTGCCAAAGGACATAACCTTGGTCTTTTGGTAGTTAATCTCCAGCAGGTTTAGGTCACAGTAAAGACCGAGCTGTTTTAGTGCCCTTTTGAGGCCAACAATTGTCCTAGATATTAAAACCATATCATCAGCGTAGAGTAGGGCTACTATGTGATGATTTCTTAAGGTAGGGGGACGAGTATCAACAGTTTTGATATTGCTGATCAGATCATTTATATAAGTGGTGAAAAATGGAGCCAGGGCAGAACCCTGTTTAAGTCCTTTCTCAGCAGGGATAGCATTTGTTAAATGCCCCTGTTTATTACATCTAACCCTGATGGCTGTATCAGTGTATAGGGTTTATATCAGGAATAGGAGTCTCCTGTCAATTGTTGTACTTCTCAGCTTATCCCAGAGCCTCACCCTAGGAATAGAATCAAATGCAGATTTTAGATCTACAAAAGCTGCATACAACAATACACTGCTGTTATATGTGTATTTGTCTATTATGTGTGTTAAGATCATAATGTGCCCCATAGTGGAATGCCCTTCCCTAAACCCAGCCTGTTCATCTACAAGGATCTTTTCACAATCCAACCAGCCTCTGAGTCTCTCAAGAAGATGGCTTGCATATAATTTCCCTAGGATGCTCGATAATATTTATAATGCTCTACTTGCTTCATAGGTTGACCTGCTACCAACCACTTATACTTCATCTTCCTTTATTACTAAGAAGAAGAACCTTAGACTTAGCAACATTAATAACTAAGCCCTCTCTGGAACAATATTCCGAGAAGAAACCTATGAGTTTACATAGACAAAATACAGATCTTGACAGAAGGCAGGTATCATCTGCATATAAGAGATTGGGTAATTTAACATTTCCATATAAGTTAAATTATTAAGGTATAAATTGAATAACAGTGGAGCAAGGATGCATCCTTGCTTAACTCCTCTGTTGAATAGAATATCCTTGGTCAGCTCACCAGCAGGACCATATCTTACCTGAGCAGTAGACTGAGTGTATAATTGTTGAATCAGGAAGAGGAAGTGCTCTTCCATAGAAGATTTGTTCAGTTTATCCCATAATCTTTGTCTAGGCACTGAGTCAAAGGCTGCTCTGAGATCCATGAAGGCAACAACTAACTTCCCATCTCTTGAGCTGGTGTACATATCTACAATAAATTGGAGAGTGTGGCATTGGTGAACTGCACTGGCACCTATACAGACTCCAGCTTGCTCTCGACTCAATATGACTCCATCTTCCATCCAAAAAAGTAGCTTCTTATGAAGCAGAGAAGCATAATACAACCCAATATGGCTCCATCTTCCATCCAAAAAAGTAGCTTCTTATGAAGCAGAGAAGCATAATACAGCCTCTGTGTGATATGGCCTTTGTCCTGGCAGGCCCCATCTTTTTCAGCATAGTCATTTTCATGGTCTGAGGAACCACTCGTCCCTTTTTCAGTACCAGAAAACCTGGTTCAATCCAACTCCAGGTTATGGATTGACCAAAAGGTTCCTATGAAAATGCCAGCATATGTTGAAACATCACTCCTATGTGTTAGGGCATCCACAAGGTCATTTTATGATGAGTAGTCACAGTAGTTAACTTCATAAGGTAAAAATATTAATTTCTATGTTCTCTAAGAGATGGCTATCATGTTCTTGTAATGTGATATTAGATAAATGACAGGACTTTAAACATGACACGAAAACCTCCACATGGTCACACATGTGTATTTAACCTTCCATAATCTTGATATGTTTTAAGTTAAAGGTGTTCATGGCACAATAATAAGAAGACACAACCAATTTCTCATATTGATTTGCTCTCATTACATGGATTCCCTCATCCTTTCTTGCTTCTCCCACCTGAGACGATGCTGATAATTTGAATGCATTTGTAATAATTCTCAAATGAACACATTCTAACTATTCCCCCAGAGAAATAAGGAGAAGAAATAATAGATAAAAAGGCACAGCTAATGAAAGGAACTTTGATTTTATTTATTTTTTACTTCAGAATTGCTGCTTGAAAATGTTGGTGAGATGAACAAGATCTTTTTGTCCTGCAAAAAACTAGGGGGAAATGTGCTTGTGATATTTCCCAGTGTGAGTGCTAGGTCACAAGGATAGTGGCAGACCCATTCTATAAATGTAGGTTCACTGTGGAGGGATCAGTTTTCAAAACAAAAGAATGTTCTTTAAAGGATGTGAGGAACGTCTCCCTACTCCTTGCAAGATGTCCCTCAATGTTACTTTTTTTCTCACATACATACACATACACAGACCTTTATTGGCATATGTTAGGTTACAGGAAGAAACAAAAGTGGATAAATAAGTAACAAGGAGAAATGAATCAATCATATGCATCTATACATTGTGCAGACGGTCCTTGATTACCAAACTTAAAAAATACTGGCTACATATGCACTACACTACCGACAAAGGGAGCTACATATACTTTTTTTCTCACCAGGGCTCCTACCCCTTCGGTGAAGAAGGGAGCAGTTGCAGAGAAGGTAAGAAAATATCGCAGAACTGAAAAAGTACAGAAGAGAGCAACCAGGGTGATTAAGGGTTTGGAGTACCTTTCCTATGAGGACAGGCTAAATGATTTCACACTTTTTGGTCTAGAAAAAAGATGGCTAAGGGAGGATTTGATGGAAGTTTATAAAATTATGCATGAGGTGTGGAAACCAGATAGAGCTTTCCCCCATTGTCCCATAATACTAGAATTCAGGGGCACCCAAAGAAATTGTTGGGCCATAAATTCAGGAGAGACAAAAAGGAGCACTTCTTTATTTAATGAGTAATTGAATTGTGGAATTCACTGCCAATGAATGTACTGATGGGCACAAGTATAGATGGCTTTAAAGAGGGTTAAACAGATTTATGGAAGATAGCTGCTAGTAGCCATGGTGAGTTAAGGGGACCTCCTTGCACAAAGATGATTAGGGCAGACCTGCATTTAAAGAGACAGGTCTGCTGCCATCATTTATAGTCATGGCCCCAAAGAAATTTTGGTTGTGATCCGAACAGTTACCTCACACATGCATAAGGACTTGAGAAACCATATAGTATTGTTGACTTTGTGGTGCACTGTGGAGCTCTGCCTTTCACAGAAATAAACTATTTCTGAAACTCACCTAAGTCTCAAAAAGCGGTGTGGTCAGAAGCCTGACCTGGATAGCCCAAGATAGCCTGATCCTGTCAGACCTTGGAAGCTAAGCCCTGGTTAATATTTGGAAGGGACATCACCAAGGAAGTCCAGGGCTGCTCCACAGAGGCAGGAGAGGGCTAACCACCTTGGTTAGTCTCTTTCCTTGAAAACCCTATGGGGTCTCACTGAGTCGGCTGTGACTTGATAGTATTTTCCATCACCAGGAAGCCTGGGTGGCTGTTCTCTTCTCCTTTAATGTTGACCTGTGGTAGGTGGTGGTTGTTTGAAAGTGTATGTGTGTGTCTTGCACCGTATCTTATTGAAACATGCAGTGCATAAATAATTTCAGTAAAATCTGTTCTTCAATAATCCTGTTCCTTTCCTTTAAAGTTTCTTACGTATTCTATTTGTGTATGATAACAGTAACCCTATGATATTTGGTTTGGAACAGGGTCACATGGTGGCGGGGGTGTGTGTGCAGCTGGAATCTTTGTCCAGGGCACCATGGTTGCTCTTGGCAGCCCTGATCTGACCCCAAATCCATCTATGGATGATCAGTCATGTACAGAAAGAGGTAGAATCCCTCCAGTTAAGGTTGCCTGCCAGATATCCATCAGAGCGTGTTCCTTTGCATTAGTGACTCTCACTTTTCACAATGCAGATTCTTTTGAGGAATAAATAACTCAGTATCCTTTTAGTAGTTGTAGAAGACTTTCGAGCCTTAGATAATATGCAGTAGTAATTAATTATCTGTAATTAACATTACCTTCTTCTGATTGTACAGGTCTTCCTGCCCTGATGCAATCCCTCTGCAGTTGTCCTGGACACTGCTTTGCAGATATATAATTCACTGGGGAAATGGAAAGAAAGAACCAGACAATTCTGACAGAGTTCATTCTCTTGGGACTGTCGGATGATCCTAACATCCAATCTGTCCTTTTTGCTACAGGGCTGTTGATATACATGTTCACATTAGCAGGGAACCTGACCATTATTATTTTGATACAGACTGACCAGCACCTCCAGACTCCAATGTACTTCTTGCTGAGCAATCTCTCCTTTACTGAGATCTGCTACATCAGCTCCACCATGCCAAAGATGTTATGGGATCTTGTGTCAGGGAACAAGACCATCTCTTTCGCTGGCTGCGCACTCCAAATGTACTGCTTTCTAACCACAGCAGCTACGGAAGGTATTCTACTCTTAGTCATGGCATATGACCGTTATGCTGCCATCTGCCACCCATTGCACTACACCTTGCTCATGAGCCAGCCTGTGCTCAGATGGCTCCTCGCAGTGTCATGGGCCATTGGAGGTCTTAATGCCACTGCCAATACTGCCTTTGTTTTCTCCTTGGACTTCTGTGGTCCCAATAAGATAGTGCACTTCTTCTGTGACATCCCACCTGTCTTGCATCTGTCCTGCTCTGATACTTCCCTTGCTGAACTGGTGACTTTTATGATCTCTGGAAGTATCATGACAGTAACTGTTTCCTTAATTGTCCTCTCCTATGTCCTGATTGTCTTATCTGTGCTCAAAATCAGTACGGCTCAGGGCAGGATCAAGACATTCTCCACTTGTGCCTCCCACCTTACTGTGGTGAGTATCTTCTACAGCACAGCCCTCTTCACTTACATGAGACCTTCTTCCAGTCACTCCATGGAAGATGATCGAGTGATCTCTGTGTTGTACACCATCATAACTCCTTTGTTGAACCCTCTAATCTACAGCCTCAAAAACAAAGAAATGCAGGCAGCGCTTCTAAATTTTCTTGGGAAGAAACAACATTGTTAGCTGTGAAACCACACCATTTATTTCTAGAGGCAAGCAGGGGATTGCCTTAAATTACAAAACATTACAATAATCCATTCATGATGAAGACCTGTCATTTATCATTTAATCATTTAATTTATCATTTATCATTGGTTTATGAGCTGCAGGTACAATGCTGAATTGACCCAAGCAACCACAGTGGCTAGCATCCTACTCTGTCCACCCTACCCTCTATCTCCTTGGCTGAAAATATTATTGAACATTCAAATGAGGATGGAAAGGGAAGGAAAGGAACTGCTGGATCATTATGATGTTGCTGAACTGATATTCTTTACAATCTATCATGATTGTTAAGCACATCAGTTACTGAAGCCCTGTTCACAAGTTACAGTGATGCATGTGCAATCCATGTCCAGTGTACATTCCATTGTTCTATGTATGTGCATTGAGTAACTCTCATGTTACAGTCAGCATATGTACAGTTAAACATGTGATACAAACCCAGCACTTATTCAGGTATTGGTTCCCAGTTTCACTTGTAAAATGAACACATGTTGGCTCTTCCCTAAAAACAAATCTGTACACATACAGGCAGGATGTACAAGCATTCATTGTAACACATGAACAAGGCTTGAGATGAATTACTGATTTATAATATTTATATGAAGATTTTCAAGATAAATAGGTCTTAGAAAGTCAGGAAGGAATCAGAGCACATTCAGAAATATTAACAGTGAATACCCTGAAAATAAAGGAAGCACATTATGAATTAGGCAAAATAACCTTCTGGAATATTTTAGCTAGAATACTTAGGAAAGGGGAAAAAAAGATTATTTTTTAAAAAAAATTCAAGATTCTTCATAAATGGTCAAGAAATACATCAAGCAGAAGACAGGATTGCATCATCGTCTTTCCCAGGGCTTCTGGGATAAAACCTGAACTCTTGTGCGTGTGGGACCACCACTAAAGTGGTCACCAGGGGCAACACCAAAAGTGGTCACCACACTGGGGGAGCCACTTCAGTGGGGACACAAAGGTGAAGATCTGTATTCTTTGTTTATAGAGTTAGAGTTATTAGGAGGGCTAAAGGGCTTGTAAGTTTGCAGGGAGGTGAGAATCCTAGTCTTCAGCAAATCTCACACTATTATATTGATGAGGAAGGGGCTCTGGAGGTGGGGGAGTTAAAGTTTACTCCCTTGTCATAGACAGATCATTACTTGATAGAGTTCAGACTCATTGTTTCCTCTTCCCTCCACAGGGGTGCTGAACCCCTCCACAGGGGTGCTGTTTGGCAGGGAGGGCAGGGTATAAGTTGGAAAAATAAAATAAAATAAATAAATAAAGATGGTCTGTCCCAGGTTCCTGATGGGCATTCGGGAATTTTACCACTTCAGTTGTGGATGATTCTGTCCAGGCCCTGACCACTCTCTAGAACAGAGAGATGGCCTGGGCTGTTGACACAATTGCCCCTAAGTGTCCTTTCCCCCTGGACAGAGCCAAGTAATTTCCCTAGTTTACTGGGGAGCTGATGTCAATGAAATGGGATGGATGGTGGCTGAGAGGCATTGACCAAACCCTTACCTGCTTGAATGGAATGTTCAGAGAAGGGGGTGAAGTATGGCACCTCTTGGCACTGGAAATGTGCAAGCTATGATAACCAAAGCCAACTGAAACCCTGACTAAATCTGGAGCCAAAGTAAAGATGCCCAAATGCAGATAGCCTGTTGGCAATCGACATCCAGCCTGTTCTTAAAAGAAGATGGGTAGTTTATTATGCTAATCAGCCAGCTAATGAATAAAACTGTAGTTTAACTCACAAATACCTGTGTTTCATGTCTTTATTTCAGGAGGGATGTTGTTATGAGTGGGGAAAATCTGCATTTGGACTCACCAGGGCCTAGTCCAAATGCAGATTTCCCCTCTCATAGGGGCTAAAATTTTCCCCATAGCAGAGGCTAAGGATGGTGCAGAAACAGATTTATAACTGATGTCCAGATTTCATAGATCACTTCCCTGGAGGAAATGGCAGATTCAGAGGACAGAGTCTATGGTATCAAAGCTTCCTCCTTCCCAGACTCCTAGTCAGGCATCACACAAGATCTCCCAAAATTTCCCAAGCCAGAATTAGCAATCCCAAGTAGGGGAAAGAACCGATCTTAAACGCTGCAGGGAAATGCCAAGAAAAAGAAGCCTCTTTCCCATCAAGTAGATTATTTCCAAAATAATGATTTATGGATTTTTCTAACTTAAATATCTAAACTTTGATGTTGGGAATAACTCCAGTCCTAATACTTTAAATTCCAAAACATTTCATTTCACAATTCTTGGAGAAACTGTACCTTTTTCCACCAGATGGCACTCAAGTATATTGTTAGCCTTTCCATAACAGTTGTGTTACCCTATCTGACTCCTAATAATGTCAACCTTTTAAGCTTGATCATTGTACAAACTAACTTCTAAGGCATTTCTGTGCTATGTCCCCATTAATGACAAGGCTCATTGTTCCTTCCATACAGGGCTTTTTTTGTAGAAAAAGCCCAGCAAGAACTCAATAGCATAATAGGCGACACCCAACCAATGTTCCCTCTAAGCTGTGGAGTCTTGTGAGCAAAAATTCTCCTTGGTGTTCTACCGACCTTAAAGTTGTGAGCGAGCGATTCGGCTACCGCATAAATTAGTTTGCTCTGGAGCCGTCCTTCCTGAGCTGAGACAAAAAATGTGTGAGCCGGAGGCTAAAAAAACTGTGAGCTAGCTCAGACCAGCTCAGCTTAGAGGGAACACTGCACCCAACAGCATAAACTCATTAGCATATTAGACCACACCCTTGACAGTGCAGCTCATTAGCATATTAGGTCACGCCTCATGCCTTCCCTTGGCTTGCCCTTGGCTTGCCGGGGAAGGCACGGGGAGGCATTTAAATGCCTCCCCAATCCTTCTAGG